CTCTGCTAAAATAATGCTCGTCGCCCGCATCCCGTTCATGTGTTGCTGGTCTTGTAAGTGCGAGTGTGCATCAACTTACACATGCATGGCTGCGCCTCTGGGTATATATGCAACCATTTTGTGAATTATCGACTGTGTGTTTCTGGATTTCAGGGCCGTTGTTTCCTGGAGTATGGTGCTGGTTCCTGGATCCTGGGGACATCCACGGAAAAAAAACATACCACTCCCCCCAAACAAAACCAGAGCAGACGAAACAAATAATGCAGGAGGATAAAAAAAAAACAATACGGGAAGAAAAAAAACAATGAAGCAGGAAAAAAAACAATGAAGTTAGAACAAAAAACAACTCAATGCCCCCCAAAAAAACAAAGACTTATATGTAGGTTAACCTAGTTACGCCGAAGTTCCGTAAGTAGGTTAGCTCAGATAGCTAATCAACTTAGTAACCTAGTTTTAAGGGCTCGGATCCAGCTTATGTATCTATGTTGCTAACCTGAATAGGTAAGTAGGGTAACCACCCACTAACCACCTACAACCACCCCAACAACATAATAAGCACCTCCACCGCCCCAGTGCGTCCGCTGGATACGCTTGAGGTCCGCCGCTCGGTCCGCCGGGTCCGCCAAGTCCGCCGGGTCCGCCGGGTCCGCCGGGTCCGCCGGGTCCGCCGGGTTCGCCGGGGCCGCCGGGTTCGCCGGGTCCGCCGGGTCCGCCGGGCCGGCCGCACACCCGAAGGATCATGAATGCCACAGGGGCCCCCCCGGGCCCCCCAGCGCCATCCTTGCGCGCTTCGACCTGGGCCCTCCGCGGCCCCCCCCAAGAGTCGCGCACCAACAGCTGGTCTTGCCTGCGGTAGGTTCGCATCGTGTCAGCGCGGCAGCGACCCCGCCGCGGGCGTTCCAGGTTGAAAGCCGCCAGTGGCCACGAATCGGCCAACCTGGAAAGATCTGGCGATCGAAAAGCCACCGATCTTTCAAGGTTGAATGGTCGGCGCGACGTCAGAGACCAACGCCAAGGTCGTCACGACACGGACCTGCCGTAGGGTCGCTCCTGCGTGTAGCCTTCGAGTGGCGCTGCGTAGTGAGCGGGGCCGCGTCGGGCTTCTCGCCGCCTCCTCGCTGCCCACCCTGCTGTCACTTTGGTACCGCGCGTCTTGTCGGGGGCAGCGTCGTGGTGGGGGACACAGACTGTGCCAAATCGCGGCTACTCTCGTATCCTGTCTATCCCTGCGTATGCAGCCCGCGTGTCCTGCGGTGTTCTGGGGCCACGTGGCCCCCGGAAGAGTCTGGTGTCCTCTCGGGTGTCCTGGCTTGAGAGCACGTCGCCGATCTGTCGGCGTTGCATCGCCGATGCCAGGCCGCTGATCCCCACCCGTGGACAGTCCTCCCCAGCAGTGCGCGCGCCCGCGCTGGTGATGGGCCGATTTCCCACCACCGTTACCATAGGCAGGAGCGGGAGGAGCAGGAGGAGGAGGAGGAGGAGGAGGAAGAGGCGGAGGAGGAGGGGGAGGAGGATGGGGAGGGGAGGAGGAGGAGGAGGAGGAGGAGGAGGAGGAGAAGGAGGAGGAGGAAGGAGGCAGGAGGAGGAGGAGGAGGAGGAGGGGGAGGGGGAGGGGGAGGGGGAGGAGGAGGGGGAGGAGGAGGGAGGAGGGAGGAGCAGGAGGAAAGGAGGAGGAGGAAGAGGACTCCCAATCCTCCCTTCTCCCCCGTCCTACCTCTGGTCTTGGTGGTGGGGGTCGCCGCCGGTCCACCCAGCGAGGCGTCGGCCCACAAGAGCCCGCGCCCACTCAGCGCCCAGCCGGGGCCCCTCAGTGCCCCGCCCCGCCCAGGGGAGCGTGCACGACCTCGGCTGGCGGTCGTCGTCGTCGTCGTCGTCGTCGTCGTCGTCGTCGTCGTCGTCGTCGTCGTCGTCGTCGCCGATCTATCGGAGGTGCATCGCCGACTCCAGGCCAGCGTTCCCCACCTGTGGGCAGTCCCCCCCAGCAGGGCTCATCTCGACTCCTCCGATGCGGTTCGATTCGATGCCGGTTGGTTCCGGTTCGGGTTCGGTTTCGGCCTCGGATTCCGATGTGGGCTCTGATGTCTCAGTGCGGGTTTGCTGGCCTGCCGATTTCTGCAAATTCGATTCCTCCCGACTTGGCTGCCGATGTTGACCGATCCGATTCCATTCGATCGCAGATCTGACTTATCGATTCGATTCTGGGCTCGCCTGCCCCAAACTCAAGGAATCACCAACATGGGCTTCGGCGTGCCAGGCAGCGACGGCTTCCGCCTCTACACGTCGGCTGCACGTAAGACTGACCCGATGCCGGATTGATCTTTGTTGTTGGCCAAACAGATTTTGATAGTTTTTCGTGAGGATCAGGTTGACCTCGCATCGGCGTAGGCAGCGTGGGGTTGCGTTCGCATCTGAGCGCGCCCGGGTTGGGCCCCCCGCCTTGTCATCGACCGCAACGCGCACGCGGAGCATCCTACAACGCACGTTGGCTTCCCGAGGGGAACATGGGCGGTTGACCGGGCGGCGCGTTTTCCGCCCCAGGATTGGTCTTGAATCCCAGCCCGATTCCCAAAACCCCTGGCTTGAACATGTAATCGTTGTGGATGTTTCAGCAATGAACAAGGAAACGCCGCTGGTATATAGCTGCTCGGGTACTCAAGGGAAGGTGGCGTCGTGACTAGGTGTGCAATCGGGTATTGCCAGATATTTGAGCTCACAGCCACGTCGGCCTTCCAAATGAAATTGTTGGGTCCGAAGACAGCGTTGGCGGTTGTTGTAGACGCATCGCTTTAGTTGATCTTGGAGTTTGATATGACAGCAACTTGAACAAGAGAACTTGCATCGTAACATATTGTTCGAATGAAAACTCAAACAAATCGGATACCTTTCTATTGAAGGTTATTCACGCGCGTAGGGGGGGTCTTCGGGGCCGGTTTTGGCCACAACGCCAGACTTGGTCAGACGTTCTCGCGGTGCGGCCCGGCCGCGGTGGCCCCTGGCAGCGTCTGCTTTCGCAGCGCCTTTGGGGTGCGAGTCTCGGGTGCGGCCAATAGGAGGCTGATGACTAGGCGGGTGCTTATCATGGCGAGGGGCCATGATATCTCCCCAGGTTTCATGGCTTCTCTTCTTATTTCAGTGCGGCCCCGCTCCCCCCCCCGCCCCTTGGGCCGAGGACATGCCGCCGACCATAATTTGCGCCCCCCCTCTTGGACGCCCCCCTCGTGGCCGCCCCCGATTTTGGGATGCCAGCCGGGGCGCCGGAGTCGAACTGGCAGGATTCCGCGGTGACGCGGTGGGGCGCGACCCACAGCAGCGGCTTGCGCGTCTGCGTTTGGCCCCCACGGGCGCCCCCAAAGCCGCGCACCAAAGGTCCCTCTAGTCTGGGACCCCTCTTGCGTGCAGCACAAGACGGAATCGCCGGGCATTCATATGGATAGTTTCCAAGATTTCCAGGTGTTCCTGTTCTTCCGCGCGGGCTACAGGGACGAATGGTCGAGCGCATTCCGTCGCACAGGTTTTTCGCGCGATGTGCGCGGTGTATTTTTCGCGCATCGGAGCGCCCTCGGAGATACTAAGCTGTATGCTGTGTTGCTCTCGGGGAGTCCGCGAGTCGCAGCTGCCGTGGCGCTGTTTTCGAGGCGACCCCTTCGAGTTCTGTTCGCGGGCGCAACACGCGGCGCGTGCTGCGCCGAATCGCGCGCGGCGCGGTGTGTGAATCAGCCGGCCGCGCCCGTCGGACCGCCCGGAAATTATTTCTGGATTGAATGTTTCACAGAAGGGCTTCCGTTTTTTAGGCGCAAGGGGTTCCGGAATTTCTCAAAAAAAAGAGCCCAGGAATTTTCAACTAACAGTTCTGAGGGGTGGAATGCGTCCGCCGCGCAGGACATCCGAAGAATTCTGAAATCCGGATTTTTTTAAATGGATTCCGGAAAAATCGACCCCGAAATTATTCGAAATCGATTCTGGTATTTTTCAAAAGATAGGCCGGGCATGTTCAATAGCGTTCCCGGAGCTTTTCAAATTTACCCCAGGAGAATGTTCCAGAGTCGCGCGGGATTTGCCACACCAGGTCTTTGGAAAGAGGCGAGCGGTGCGCGGCGGCGGGTGATGGGACGGTGCGCCACCGTCCCCCCCGCGCTCGGCAACGAGAAGGGGGATCAGCAAGTGCCAAATAGCCCCCATACGGGCGACCACTCGATTGCGAATGGGCGACCGACCAGCAGCGCCAGCCAGCGTATATTCGAAGCAAACTGTACCCCGCGCGAAAGTTGTTAGAAATCCCAGAATCCCCGGAACGTATCAATAGCACGTTGTGTCAATTGATATTTTTCGTCCTAAAATCGGACGGCACTGGCTCCCCTGGCGCCCACGTGCCAGATCCACGGGTCTACATTCCGTGCTGGCTTGTGCCTGATTGCGGAAGGTTCGTGTCGTGCCGAAGCGGCAGCGCCCCCGCCGCGAGCGTTCCAGGGTCAACGCCGCCAAGGGCCCAGAATCGGCCGGTTGAACGATCTGCGTGGCGTCAGGGACCAACGCCGCGGTCGCTATGACACGAGCCCGCCGTGGCCAAGTGCCCGAGTGTTGTTCCCCCTTGTCCGGGAGCGCGCCTGCCGCATCCTCCTTTTTTTCGTCCTCCTCCTCCTCTTCCTCCTCGTCCTCCTCCTCCTCCTCCTCCTCCTCCTCCTCCTCCTCCTCCTCCTCCTCCTCCTGCGGACACCTGCAGGGCCTCGCGTCCTCCTCCTCCTCCTCCACCTCCTCCTCCCTCCTCCTCCTCCTCCTCCTCCTCCTCCTCCTCCTCCCTCCTCCTCCTCTCCTCTCCCCTCCTCCTCCTCCTCCTCCTCCTCCTCCTTCCTCCTCCTCCTCCTCCTCCTCCCCCCCTCCTCCTCCCCCTCCTCCTCCTCTCCTCCTCCTCCTCCTCTCCTCCTCCTCCTCCTCCGCCTCCTCCTCCTCCTCCTCCTCCTCCTCCTCCCCCTCCTCATCCTCGCGCGCAGCGCTCTGCATAGGTTCGGCACGCTCATCTGGTTTGCGGAGCAGGGCACGTGGTCCCCGCCCTGCCCGCCGCTCGCTCGCCCGCTCGCTGGGCCCGGGGCGGGCTCGGTGGCAGAGCATGCGAGCCCTGCATGTCCTCAGAAATCCGCCTTTAGCGTCGACTAGCGTCGCTCAGCGTCTGCGAGTCGTGAGATAGCGCTCGTGAGATAGCGCCGGATGGGCGTCGGCTAGCGTCGATTAGCGTCGGCTGAGCGTCGACTAGAGTCGGCCCGGATTAGTAGGTCGACCCTGCCAGCTCAAGGGTTCTTGTGTGTCCTGTGCCTCGCGACACGTGCCTTCTTCTAGGCCTCCCAGATGGGGTCGGAGTAGATGTGGTCGGTGGATCGTGCCACATCGCCGATGCATCGACGATGCGGCTCGATGCGGAGACCGTGTTTCCACATGCTGACGTCGCCAATGCATCGCCGGTGCATCGCCGATGCATCGGGATGCATTGGCGATGCGGCGCGATCCTTCGACCCCATCTACTCGAACCCCATCTAGGAGGCCTCTACTTCTCACATTCCTATGGCGATGTGGCCCTCGGAAGGGTCTTCTGTCCTCTCGCGTGTCCCGTCCAATCAAGGCCGACTGTAGCGTCGACTGCAGCGTCGACCAGCGTCGACCCGCAAGGGCCGCCAAGATGATACGGGAGGAGGAGGAAAAGGAGGAGGAGGAGGAGGAAGAGGAGGAGGAGGAGGAGGAGGGAGGAGGCGCAGGAGGAGGAGGAGGAGGAGGGGGAGGAGGAGGGAGGAGGAGGAGGAGGAGGAGGGGGAGGAGGAGGGGGAGGAGGAGGAAACCCGCAGACCTCTCCTTCGCGCCGCGACAGAATCACGACGGAATGTATCTTGCCCTGCCATGTTCGGTTTCGGGCGGCCCTCGCTGGGCCATGGGGCGGACCGGGAAAGCAGGAGTCAGGAGGAATCGGTACGACCGAAATCGTCAGCACGGAAAGAACGGATACGAAGACCGACAGCAGGTCGTGCTCATGTTGAACAGAGCTCGTTGCCGGCGTTGCCGCGGACGCAGAAGGCCGACTGTCCAAGAGCGGCCGGTGCCGGTTTAGAACAGCATTGGTTTTTGGGCATCGTGCCCATGCTTGTCCGTACAGTGGAGGCCAGTCCACAATCATTATTCCACAAGAAACCCAACCCTGAGACTGCAGGGCGTCCATTGATTTTTGGTGTGGGGACGTCACGCTTTCCATAGCGCAATCATCTAAACCCAAGGAACCCAGGCACCCAGGAGGCAAGCAAGGTGTTTCATGGCATGGGCCCCCACTGTACCCATTCTGGCCGTCCCAAGCAAACCCCCCTTCGGCGGCGAGCCAGAGAGGCGGGAAGTGCGAATAAGGAGGCCCTTTCAGAAGGCGGCGGGACCTCAGGAGGAGAAGGAGGAGGAGGAGGAGGATTCGGATTCGGAACGCTTGCGTGGCAAGATTAACATACAACTTCGGGATGTAGAACAACGCAGATAAAGAAGCCCATGAGTGGCACCCTCGGCAAACGAATTGCCAAGCTTTTTTGAAATGGATTATGCTCGATTCGTGCCTCCCCGGAGGTAACTGGCCAACCTCCAACCAATCATGAAGATCGCGTCATCCACAGACAGCCTCGCAGAACGGCACCGCAACCAAAATTGGCCTGGCGAAGGACCCAACCATATGCAGTTGTGGGTATCGCATTCGGGGGAGCCCCGTATGGGACCACGAAACGCTGTACTGGGTGGGGGGGGACGCATGCGAACTGCGCCACTGGGACCTTCGATGGAGCTCCCTATGGGGCCACGAAACGCTGCCCTGGGTGGGGGGGAACGCATGCGAACTGCGCCACTGGGGCCTCCGGTGGAGCTCCCTATGGGGTCACGAAACGCAGCCCTGGGTGAGGGAACCGCATGCGGGCTGTGCCACTGGGACCTTCGGTGGAGCTCCCTATGGGGCTACGAGACGCTGCTCTGGGTAGGGGAACCGCATGCGGGCTGTGCCACTGGGACCTTCGGTGGAGCTCCCTATGGGGCCAGGGGGAACCGCATGCGTGCTGTGCCACTGGAACCTTCGGTGGAGCTCCCTATGGGGGTACGAAACGCTGCCCTGGGCGGGGGAACCGCATGCGGGCTGTGCCACTGGGACCTTCGGTGGAGCTCCCTACGGGGCCACGAAGCGCTGCCCTTGGTAGGGGAACCGCATGCGGGCTGTGCCACTGGGACCTTCGGTGGAGCTCCCTATGGGGCCACGAACCGCTGCCCTGGGTGGGGGAACCGCATGCGGGCTGTGCCACTGTGACCTTCGGTGGAGCTCCCTATGGGGCCACGAAACGCTGCCCTGGGTGGGGGAACCGCATGCGGGCTGTGCCACTGGGACCTTCGGTGGAGCTCCCTATGGGGCTACGAAACGCTGCCCTGGGTGGGGGAACCCCATGCGGGCTGTGCCACTGGGACCTTCGGTGGAGCTCCCTATGGGGCTACGAAACGCTGCCCTGGGTGGGGGAACCGCATGCGGGCTGTGCCACTGGGACCTTCGGTGGAGCTCCCTATGGGGCTACGAAACGCTGCCCTGGGTGGGGGAACCGCATGCGGGCTGTGCCACTGGGACCTTCGGTGGAGCTCCCTATGGGGCTACGAAACGCTGCCCTGGGTGGGGGAACCGCATGCGGGCTGTGCCACTGGGACCTTCGGTGGAGCTCCCTATGGGGCTACGAAATGTGTGAGGGGTGTGCCGAGAGCAGAGGCAAGGAGGGGGAGGAGGGAGGAGGGCGAGGAGGGGGAGGAGGAGGAGAGGAGGTGGGACGCGGGGCGCTGTCTCTTCAAAACGAGGACCCAACACCACAGGATGGTTGGGAAACATCAGCCACATTGTTCATTCCTTCCATACGAGAATGTTGCATCCAACTTGGAAGTAGAAGAGACCAGTACCAAAAGAGAGCAACCCAATGTGAACTCCACCATGTTTGCTCTGCCCTGGGCCTGAACAATGGACCACGAACTCGCCGACGGAGCCCAGGAAGTTGAACCAGACCGAACAAAAGCGACCCGGTCACTTGCGAAGCCCACGACGTTGAAGGTGCACGTGGCCGCACCGCCGTAGAGGCGGCCTCCAGCGGCGAGATTTGAAAGGGCCGCACCGCCGTAGGGGCGGCCTCCAGCGGCGGACACGAGGAAGGCGCCAGGCAGGGTGCTCTTGTCCATGTCGTCCGCATCGCCGTAAGGGCGGCCTCCAGCGGTGAGCCCTGAAAGGGCCGCACCGCCGTAATGGCGGCCTCCAGAGGCAGAGACGAAGAGGAAGCACATGTCCGCACCGCCGTATGGGCGGACTCCAGCGGCAGAAACGAAGACCCCGTCCATGCCCGCACCGCCGTAGGGGCGGCCTTCAGCGGCGAGAGCAGTAAAAGCCGCATCGCCGCAGGGGTGGCTTCCAGCGGCAGAGACGCTGAAACGCCAGCCAGGAGGACCCAGCCCGTGACCGCACCGCCGTAGGGGCGGCCTCCAGCGGCGAGAAACTGCCAGTGCCGCACCGCCGTAAGGGCGGCCTCCAACGGCAGAAATTGAGCTAGACCCTGCCGAAACAACCTGCCTGCAGACCTCGGAGCCTCCAGTGTGTTGCACAGTCCTTGCTTCACGATGCCTCTCCTTTGTCAGCGGGAACGCTAGGCAAACGAAATGTGCACGCAGCCCGCTGCCCCCAAGCGCGACGTGGACGCGAGAGGCCTCGGCTCGCTGCAGCAAAATGCGCGCTCGAGCCGAGATGTGCTTGAGAGGAGGAGGAGGAGGAGGAGGTGGAGGAGGAGGAGGAGGAGGAGAAGGAGGAGCCTCCGTCCTTGTGCGCAGTTCTATGTGACGCTCACGACACGTCTCAGAAGGCCAGGGAGCCTCGGCCAGGGGACTTCCGAGCCGAGGCAGGTCGCCTCTCACTTCCCCCCACCACGGAGGAGACCGCCGACCCATCCCCAGCGTCCAAAGTCTGGGGTCCCCAAATCGGCGCCACCCCAGCATACTACTACTATGTGTGCGTCGCCCCCCAGGGGCGACACGCGCACCGAGAAATCTTATAGTACATGCGTCGTGGCGGGCGCTTTCTGGCCACACCGTTCGGGAAACGATTTACTACAATAGGGATGTACTATATGTTCGGTTCGGACACGCGCCTCCAAGGAGGACATCTAGTATTTGTATGCTTCTGTGCGTCCCACCAAACGGTGCGGTGACCACACCGTGTGGAGAGTCAGTGGGGATTCTGGGTCACCGCGCGGTTTTGGGACTCGAGTCTCTCTCCGACAGGGCCATCCCGGGTCCCAAGACCGAGCGGTGAGGTCTCTCGGGGTCCTGAGGTCACCGCACGGTCTGTCACCGCACAGTTTCGGGATCCCCCAAAGAGGGCTCCCGGGGTGCGATCGCTGCAGGCCGGGTGCTCACCCGCACGTTCCTTGGCATCGCTCGGACGTGTGCATTTTTCCGTCGGCGAGGACCATCGAGGAGCATTTTTGATCATTTGGCGAGAAAGCCACGCACGAATCCGAAAAAACAACAGGAAATGGACGTCCGAGCGATGGCCAGGTTCTGCCATGAGATCCTGGCGCTGCAGTTTTGTTTTGCACATCGGGCGCTTTCGCCTCTTTGCACGGGCCCCGGGGCCCTCGCAGGTCGATTTTTGGCTCGAAGAAGGGCGCAGGAAGATGTGGTCCGGGGCTCCGAGCGTGATTTCGGGGTTGGACAGACCTTCTACCCTGACGCGTCGAGTAAGGAACTGGCCGTTTTCGGTTCGCGAGAGGGCGTCGCGGCCGTCGTTCTTGCGGGTCCAGGTCCGTCGATTTCGGTCCCAAGCCGTTTTCGATAAGGGGAGGTCTACTAAAGGGAGGTTTGTCCACCGCCGATGATTTTTTACGATGCTGCATTTTGTTCGCTGCGGCAGATCTTGGCACGACCTCTTTGTGCAATCAGCCTCTGGCCCCCGCCCCGGCCCGGGCCTCCCTTGCCCTTTGCATCAGGCAGTGGCGAAGCGTGCTGGCTCGCCTACAGGCCCACCAAAGAATGCTCTAAGATCTTTTTGGTGGTCTTCACGAATAGGTTCTTAGAACGTGTCTGGCCGAGACTGTCTTGTTTTAGCGCGGCGGGATCATGTTCTAAGATCATTGTTTGGGCTCTTGGACCATTTCTGGGTTCTGAGAACATGGCCTGGTAAGCCTGTAGGAATGCCGGGACGGTCGGTCCCTGCTCAATTCTGGGGCCACGAAGCGTGCGAAGGGTATATTAGAATGGGGCGGGGCCGCCATGAAGGCGCTGCCAGGGCCGTAGGAAAAGCCCCTTATGGGGCCAAGCAGTGTGCGAGGGGTGTACCGGAACAGGGCAGGGCCGCCAGGCGGGCGCTGCCACGGTGGTTCCGTGAGCCGGCGTTTCGTGCCCATTTCTTTACCACCTCGTTCAACCCCGCTTGTTTCATTTGCGCGGTGCGTTCCAGCCCGGCTGGCCCGCAATGACCCGAGCCCTGGGCCCTGCCTTTTTGTGCTCATCTCGATCCCTCTCTGTCTCCGAATCCTGGTGGCCGCGGAGTCCCCGCGATGCGCACAGGTCGCTCCAGAGGAGTCCCGGCGACGCGCGCCACTGGAGCCTTGGGTGGAGCTTCGTATGGGGCCACGAGACGTTTAAGGGGTATGCCAAAGTGGGCGGCGCGGACGCATGCGAACGGCACCATTGAGGTCTTAGGTGGGCTCGTATGGGGCCACGAAGCGGGTGTGGGTGTGCTGAAATGTGCGGCGCGGATGCATGCGAACAGCACCATTGGGGCCTCTGGTGGAGGGACGTGTGAGGGACCTTGCGGGGCACCTTGCGGGGCCTCGAAGCGTGTGAGGGACGTGTCGAATACGTGGAAATGCGGAGAGCAGAGGCCAGGATGCCAGGATGGGATGAGGGATGGATTGGGGGAAGGGGTGTGCAGAAGAGACGCGGGGCGCTGTCTCTTCAAAACGAGGACCCACCACCAGAGGATGGTTGGGAACAACTCGGAATGAACAGCCGGTCCTGGGCAATAGGTCGAGACCTCTGGGGGTCCACGGAATGAGAAAATTACGACGTCGGGGGTCTCGGGAGCGGTGTACGCTGGCTGGGCTGCGTTTCATATATATGATCCGATCCGAGGCTGCTCGATTCGCTGGCTGGGGCCGCGATTGCGTTTCCAGTTCTGGACCGGTGTCGGTGCTCGAGCGATCGGCCAGGTCTGGCCAGAGTTGGGGCGCGGCGATCCTGTTTCGATAAGAGGAGGCTGGGCGGGCGCCAAGGCTGGGATCACGGCTGCAGTGGACATTGCAGCGACGGTTCGTGATGTTTGCAACCGCCGTGAAGGAAACGGGCCTTTGAGGAGAAGTGTCCTGCCGGCTTCTGGGAGACCTCCATGGACCTTTAGATTACCAAGCAACGATCCAGGACGAGCAGATGGCCCCTGAGGGAGGCCCCTGGGTTCCAGGACCTGTTTTTCTCAGGACCCGCTTGTTCATGCTAGGATGTTCATCTGATTCCGAGGCGATTGATTGTCAATAGCCACCGCTTGGGGGGATCTATGTTCAGGGACCTGGACAGGCGGTGGACATGGATACATTCGGGCCCCCAGGGGGTGCCTGACGTATCCACATCCATCACTTGCTGTGGTCCCCGCAGATCGAGCCCCCAGGAAGTGGTTCTGGATAACCCCCGTCTCGCAATGATGTTACTGTTGAGCACGATGACGATGGCAAGGATGAGCCGCTGATGACCGTGAGCATGATGTTTTGTGATTGTTCGGAGGAACCGTATCAAGACAGTTGCGTTTTGAAATTGCGTGGCAGGGTCGGTCGCCGAGAAGCTTCTCCCATCGCTCAAATGCGACCAAGAGATTTTCCGGTTCTATTTCTCTCTCACCCTTCCCCAGATCCTGACCCCTCCACCCCATCTCAACCTCTATCTCTCTCTCTCTCTCTTTCCCTCTCTCCCCCCATCGCCCCCCATTTGAATCTGCGATACAGTGGGCGCCCCATAATTCCGTCGGCGATGTCGCATTTCCAATGCTCTAGTATGGTCGCAGCCCCAGTCAGCCTGTTGACTTGCAGGCTGCATGACACCCCGCGCCAAAGAGTGCTCCGCTGCCAAAGCCATTCCCCTAACCTTCCTTCTGTCTCTATCCCTCGGTTCCATCCCCTCGCCTTCTCTTTCCCCTTCTCGGGCCCTCTCTCTCTCTCTCTCTCGTCCCCCTCTGCGTCCTGCTCCCGAGGCTTCAGGAGGCCGGAGGCCAAACCAACATGGTGCTACGGATGTCGGAATTTATCGATCCGTGTGCTCTTCGATTCTCTCTCTCCTCATCGCGGCCTTTCTGTCCCCGTCTGCGCAGTGCTTGCCCTCCTGTCCTGCTCCCGTGGAGCCGTAGTGTCGCTCGGAGAGGTACCCGACGGGCCACGCGAAGCTGGACGCTCTCAACATCACGAACCGGGGTGCGTACTTGAGGCCAGCCCTCGGCTCGCTGGACGAGGACAATTTGGAGGAGACTCTTCTCGTCGGCCTGTGTCCGTCGGAGCGCAACGCAGCACATGTATGAAGGCACCCAGCTTGGCTCATGAATTGTGCAAGAGACGGCACATTTTTTACGTGCGCTGAATTCGGCGGTGTCCTGCAAGCATGGCCAACATTCTGGCCCCAAACGCGGGCTGATGGGGAAGAGAACGACAGGAGACGGGAGGAGGGGGAGGGAAGGAGAGGGAGTCGGACATTGACAGGAGAACGACAGGAAATGGGAGGAGAATGACAGGAGACGGGAGGAGAACGACAGGGGATGGGAGGAGAGGGAGTCGGACATTTGCCTTGGGCCGCCGTGTGTGATCTCGTGGAGGCCTGCTGGTTCCCACCTCTTGTGACTTCAGGCCCGCAGGATCTTCGGCGACGCCGATCGCCAAACCAGTGTTGCACACATGCAGACACACACGCGCACAGCCCACACAGGGGCCCAGAGCTGCCGTGCCGTTTCTGGCAGATGCTGCCCTTCCCCAGGCCACTGGGGGGTGTCACAACGGTCTCGGGACGAATGGCTGCTCCCAGGGAAAGCCCGGGGTTCGGGACCCGCTTCCCTCGGGACTTTTTATGTTGCGGAGGGTCTCTCGCGGGCGAGAGACCTCTCCGCACCCACGGCCTCGCAACACCGGCCCTGTCCGCCGCCGGATCGGGCGGGGCACCAGCCTCATGCTCCGGGGTGTGTTCCACCGCGTCTATGTTCTGGGGAAGGGGCAGCGATAGGGGGGGGGATCGGCATGGGTCGAGGAAGAACAAAAACGGCATGAGCATCAACGTGTGGCGCTGCGCTCGGATTTCTTGGATCCGCGCTTGGCCCCCCTGGCGGCGCCTCCAGCGCCGCCCCTGGCGCGCTCCGCGCGCCAGGGAGGGGATGCATCGACCCCCATTCGCTCATTTATCGCCGATAGGGGACCGATAGTCCCTACCTGCCCAGGAGCGTGCGGATTCACTAGCGGGGGCCTATCACCGATCTATCGGCGATGCATCGCGGATTCAGGTCGATGCTTCCCCCCATTTGTAAGTCCCTCTATCGTTGCCCCTCATCTAGATCCGCGGACTCATCATTTGTTTGAGCGTGTGCCCGAATCATCTGTCGTCGTTTACCAATCCACACCGGCCCAACCCGAATGCCCCCGAATGTCCAACGGGTTCGGGCGTGTACGGGTTCCATGTTGTGGTTTCTCAATGCTCTGGTATGCCCCCCCCACCAGACATTGACAGGCCCAGCAGTTTGGTAGGTGTCAATACGGTGCGTCGCTGCGCCTGCCAGAGAGGAAGACAGGGCTTATTTCTATTCCTCCGATTCGATTCGATGTCGATGGCCATCGAGTCCGATTCGATTCGGCTTCGGATTCCGATTTGGATTCCGATTCCTGAATGGAGGCCTTCTAGCCTGCCGATTTTTGCCGATTCGATTTTTCCCGACTCAGCTGCCGCTTTCCGCCGATCCGATTCATTTCGATCGCCGATCCGGCGTTTCGCTTTGATCCTGGGCGCTCCTGGGAAGAGCGTACGTGGGAGGGTGAGATTGGGGGCAGGGGCGAAGAACAAGCAATCTCGCATAAACGTGCGTAAAGGTTCGGAGGTCGTGCGGTGGCGATAACTGTCTTCCTGGCTTTCCCGCGGGATGGAGGGTGGCAACAGCGGCGGGATCAGAGGTCAGGGTCAGCGTTAAGAGGGGAACAGGCTCAGGGGGGAGCGAAGCTTCGAGACTTGGAGTTTTCGGGCGCTCTCGTTGGCTTCCGGCGGCTTCCCAGCCTCGAGAGGCCTTCCAGCGGCCGTGCCTCGCCGAGAGCGCTCCAGGGATGCTGGGATCGTCCCGGATGGCCGCTGTCGGGGCTCAAGGGACGGGGGTCGATGCAGACGGGGGGCCAACCAGAGCGCAGGATCTTGCAGAGCCAGGGTCGGGCCCGACGAAAGGAGGGGGATATGGAAAGGGGGGGGTTACGAGATCTGCTGCATGCAGCTGGTTTCGGCCCCACCGAGGGGCCCACTCCTCGATGCATGTCCGCCTCCGGCGCCGGGAGGCGCTGGGACAATCAGCTACGTGAGCTGATTCTCAGGCCCCCCCTTTGCTATCCCCCCTTTCGCCCAGCCCGACAGGGGTGCACTGACCCGGGCTTGGGTGCAGGATCAGGGGTGGACCGAAACGGTGTTTGGGCGATCTCGTGGGCCGTTTTCGTTTCGATCTCGTTTTGCGTTACAGGCGGATCGAGGACCAAAGCGAGGGAAAACGACAGCAGAGCGAACACGAGAAGCACCGTTTGGTTTCACAGCCCCCCCAGCCTTTCCGAGTCTTCCGCCTCGCGGAGCGGAGCGACACCCTATCCGCCCGCAGGGCATAGCGTGTCGCCGGGGCCGCCGCGCGGACACGCGAAGTAAACGTTCCCACCGTGAATGGGTGGATCGAGGGTTGCACTGAAAGGAGCCACCTGCAGGTGCACGATTCCGTGCAGGGTCCCGCGGGACCCCTGCGGGGTGTTGCCGGGCCCTGCAGCGCTGGGCGTGCCCGGGCGTGCCATGGGCCCGTGCGCCGGCGCGTCCCTGGCGCCAGAGGCCCGCGCGAGGGCGGGGAGGCTTCGGGGGTGGACAGACCTCCTACCCTGACACGTCGATTGAGGAATTGGCCGTTTGCGGTTCGCGAGAGGGCGTCGCGGCCGTCGTCTTTGGCGGGTGCAGGTCCGTCGGGTTCGGTCCCAGGCCGTTTTCACCAAGGGGAGGTCTACTAAAGGGGGGTACAGTGCCCAAGGGGAGGTCTACTAAAGGGGAGGTCTACTAAAGGGGAGGTCTACTAAAGGGGAGGTCTACTAAAGGTGAGGTTTGTCCACCGCCGAGAGCTGGGGGGGGGGGGGGCAGCGTCGGGGCGTGCAGGCGCAGGTGCTCTGCTTCGGAGGTGGGCAGGCCTCGCTGCCCTGGCGCGTCGACTCAGGGATTGGCCGGCGTAATTAGGGGCTCAGGTGTTCTGAGCCGTCGGTTTCGGTCCCAGGCGTGCAGCCGCAGGTGCTCTGCTTCGGAGGTGGGCAGACCTCCTGCAGTCAACCCGCGGAGTAAGGACGAGCAACCTGTCCCAGGCTACCCTTTTGCATCCTTGCCCCTTGGGTCCATCCCTGGCAACGTTCGCTGGCCAGCCCCTGAGGGTACCCTTGGGGCGGGCGTTCCAAGGCCCTTGCATCCTTATCGTGCATCCTTATTCCGCGGGTTGATGTACCCTGAAACGTCGATTAAGGAATTGGCCGTTTTCGGTTTGCGATAGGGCGTCGCGGCCGCCATTCTTGAGGGTCCAGGTCCGTCGGTTTCGGTCCCAGGCCGTTTTCACTAAGGGGAGGTTTTCTAAAGGGAGGTTTGTCCACCGCCGAATGATGTTCCAACCTACTTTAGCCTTGGTTTGGTGTTTGCGCGTCGGGCCCTGGGAGGCGATACTCGGTCGACTGTTTCGACACTTCTGTGTGCTCGAAACTATTTCTGGGATGTGGTCCTTAAGTGCGATGGGAACAACGTAACTTTAGTGTTCAGTCGGGCCTGTCCATCTACAGGAGAAACTTTCAAAAAATAGTCCAATGATAGTCTGGGGCCGATTGTTTTCACTATTTTGGTGTATTTTTGGGGTATCGTTTATCGGTTCGTCCAAGATCCGTCTGTAGGAGGCCACGCCCGACCTCAGTATAGGCTCTAGTGGCGACGCATCGAGTCCCTGTCGCCCTGTCATCGCCGATGGGGTCTTGATAGTTCGCCCCGCCCAGGAACGGTGCGGATTTGCTATCTATCCGGGCCCATCGCCGATCTAGCTGCGACGTATCGCCGATTATGTGTCGATGTTCCCCCCCATGTCCCTCATGCGAAAGATGTGGAGAAACTTCTTCCTGTTGCAAAGGGAAAGAGAGGAGTCCTCCTCCTGCGGAGGAAGCCAGGGAAGAGATCACCTCCCCCCCTTCGATTTAGGAGGTCCTCACCCCCCTCCTTCTGCCATTCCTCCTTCCTCCAGGAGCTTCTGAAAACCCGCAGGAGCTTCTGAAAGCCCCCAGCGAAGGCTTCCGAGATGACGACGGCCGCGACGACCTCCGCAGGAGAGCCCCTTCTACAGCATCATCCACTCCTTCTGGTGCGACGCCGCCCGCAGTGGAGGAGTTGGAGGAGGTGGAGGGGCTGCTTTGGGCGGGATCCCGCCCCACAGGTTGTAGAGAAGGAGAAGAAGAGGGAGGAACATAAGGCACACATCGAGAAACATGTGGGCCCCCATCATCCTTGCCGAAAGCCGATGCACATCATTATGTCTGGTGGGCCTGCGCACAGCAGGCCACGCGCCTCCACACCCGCGGTCCCTGTCAAAAACCATGTGACAGTGATTGCGGGATGGCCGCGCATGATCCAGATTTAGGCGCGAGGTGCATGTTGTATAGTTTTTGTCGGGGATGGTAGCCCTGCGCGCAGCAGGGAATATGCTAAACAATATAAAGTGCTCGCGGGCCTCACAAACATGACTCAAGACTTTCCCCCGAAGTCTATTTTGTATTGGTTTTGACAGGGATGGTGGGATGGGGGCCACATCGGGTTGGCCGCGCATGCTCCAAATGTGGAGGCAGAGGGCGGTTCGCATGTTTTTTGACAGGGATATGATGGGGGGCGGGTCGCCATGTGATCCTCATGGTTCCTGGTTGGACGCCGGTCGCCTGGGGGAGGGGGTGTATATTCATAAGGAGCAGTGATAAACCCGTCCCTGAAGGGGAAGAAGGGAGTTGGAAGAGAGGAAACATCATAAACCACCGTACGCCCTAAAGGGATGGTGAGACTTTTTGGGGGAACACGTGGGAGGGGAAGAGGAAATATGAGGAGAGGAAGGAGAAGGAGGACGAGGAGTAGGTAGGAGGAAGAAGAGGATACCTCTTGAGGCCTTTTGGAGTCTCCATGGAGCTTACTGGGCATTGGTGGGTGCCTCTCTGGGTGCTTGAGGGCGCTCTTGGAGGTGTATGGGGCCATCTTCGGGTCCTCTTGGGCCGTCTTGCGGCCCTCTTGGTCCGTCTTGTGGACCTCTTGAGGCCCTCTTGAGCCGTCTTTGCGAGATGTTTGGTGCCTATGGGGCCGTCTTGGAGCGTCGGGAGCCCTAAAAGGCGAGAACGGTAACATCTGGAAAACTAGCGGATTATTCATCATTTGGCGTCTCGGGGGCCTTTGGGGCCGTTTGGAGGAAACTTTGGGCCGTCTGTGCGCCATTTTGGCAGTCTTGAAGGCGTCTGGCGCACATCTTCGAGGCTATCGTTGGCCATCTTTCTTGGACGTCTTGGAGGCATCTTGGAGGCCAACTTTGGCCATCTTGGTCGTCGCTGAACGATTTGTTGTGGACGTTGAGGTTTTGATGGGTCCTTCCGAATTGCCGACGTATCAGGCCGAGACCTTTTGGAAACGTTTGAGAAATTCTTGACGCTTCGCGTATCCCCACCAGCCCATCCAGAAACGATGTACAGGCAAGTTGAAGAGATCAGAGAAGTGGGGGAGCAACGAGAGGGACAGCCGATCCGTGCAAAGGATGAGGCGGAAGAGGAGGTCAGATGGATAGATGAGGAGGTGGCGAGGAACCGAGCGAAGGAAGGATGAGGAGAATGATGACGCTGGGTGGATGGTTGAATGCCGCTCGGATGCCTCTTGGAAGCCTTTTAGAAGCCTCTTCGGGCGTCTTGGGGGCCTCTTGGCGGTCAATGGGGCTCTTGGGCGTCTTGGGTGCTTCGGGGGGGCCTCTTGAGGCCGCTTGGGATCCTCTTGGGGGGCTCTTGGGGGCCTGTTGGAGGCCTCTTGGGGGTCTCTTGGAGCTTCATGGCGGCCTCTGGGAGCTTCTTGGAGGCCTCTTGGAACCATCCTGGGAGCCTCTTGGAGCCCCTTGGGGGCTTCTTCTTTTGGCCTCATGGCGGCCTCTTGGGGCCTCTTGGAGGCCTCTTGGAAGCCTCTTGGGGCCGCCTGGGCGCCCTTTGGGGCCATCTTGGAAGCGATCGATCAAAGAAGAGGGTGGAGTTAATTAACCCTGCCCCCGCAAGAGGCCAAAATGGGGCCAAAACCATAGTAAAACCGATGATTTGGTCTTCCTCGCCGAGGCCGTTTTGGACGCTCCTACTACCAGCGAAACCCCCCGTCCAGGTCCAGGGGAGGGGGTTAGGGGGAGGGGTAAACCCCTCCCCGAAGGGGAAGAAGGGAAGATGGAAGAGGAAACTCCCTAAACTACCTACGCCCAGAGGGCTGGTGGGATTTAAAGCAACCCAACGTCCAGCACGCCGTGCACCCCTGTGGCAAGCCACAGGGGGCGGCGGGTTGTGGACCAGATAACTCTTAGAGATCTTGAGGTATCTTAACAGACCTTTTGACATGAGGGTTACTGGAAGCCCCGCCGGGCCCTCATAGATTCAGGGCCTCCGGGGGGGGGGTCCTTGGGCGCCCCCTGGAGGTCCAGAAGCATGGAGGCGGTCGTGGGGGCCGTCTTGGCGCGAAGGACCCCAAGAAGGTCCCCCTCTTGCGACCTTCTTGGGGACCTCTGTGTGCCCTCTTGATGGCCACGGGGGGCTGTTTGGGGGCGGCCTCGGGGGCCTCCCGGCCAGTTTGGGATCCCCTGGAGACAGAACAAAATCGCGCACGTGAAAGTCATCCCCCAAGAGGCCGAAAGGAGGGCCCAAGGACAGCTCCATGGGACCAGAGTACAGCCCACGTGCACAGTGAGGATGGGCAACCTTCCCAATGGTACTGTACCCTTGCATCCTTGCCCCTTCGTCGCAGCCCTTGGCGAGTTTCGCTGACCAACCTCAAGGAAGTCGTGCGCCACCCCCAAATTGGTGCCCGAGCATCGCCCTGCACTCTTGGGCCAGGGCCCCGTGATTAGCGAGTACGCGCCACAGGGAGCACGGAGATCTTGGAAGGACCTGAGGACACTCCACTTCGAGCGTCGCGGCATGGTGGTTAGATGCCCGTTGGGGGGACCTTCCTGGTGCCCACCTAAAGGATTTGTTCGATTCTAGATCGACTCAAGTTCGACTCAAGTTCGATTCAAGTTAGACTCAATTTCGAATCAGAGTTCGACTCAGATTCGACTCAGGGTCTATTCAAATCGACGGACGTTCGACGCAGCTTCGACGCACGAGTGGAGCGTGTGTCATTCGGGAAGGTCCCCAGAATGAGCACCCAAAGGCGGCGGATGAGGTTGTTCTCATGTTGGACTTGAGTAGCCCGCGTTCGATTTGGTTGGGATCTTGTTCACATTCCCGCAGCACATTCCCGCAGCGCGCTACTGCGATCCCTTGCAGTCACAAGGGCAGCACACGAGCAGATCTCAAGCAGGCTTGCGGAGCAATGGCTCACCAGGCACAAAGGGCGTTGCAGACACAGAGGCGCTCTACCCCGCAGCCGTTGCGGCTCGAGCCCTGGCCAAGGTCTCTCGAGGATTTTCCTGCCGAGCTTCTTGCGAACGCCGCCGCCGTGCCGGCACAGCATGCAGGACTGGCTCACCATCACACTGAAGCCGCCTGGGAATCACCGGTACGATGCTGCAGCGCGGCGCAGCCGTGCCGTTACATGATTGTCGCAATGCCTCTTTCGTGTGTGCTTCTGGGGAGCAGTTGTTTGGGGATGTTGGCACGACCCCCACAGAGAACCCCTTCTTGGGAACGTCTTGGGCGATCTCTGCGCCCTCCCGAGGAGGCATGTGGGAGAATCGTACAGGGAGCCGCCTGGTCGGATCGCGCAGCCGTCCTGGGGCTCTCTTTGGACGATCGTGGGGCCGTGATGTGGGTCGCCGGGCCATCTCGGACTCGGTCGCGCTGGGCAGACTGCGGCCGTCCAGTGGCGGTATGGGGGCCGTCCTGGCGCCGACAGGAGCGCCGAGGGCCGAAACGTAGGCAGGCGGTGGTCCCATCACCCAGCGTCACGACGAGGACGGGGCCGCCCTTGAGAGATCGCACCGGCACACGGGGCCCCGAGCAGTAAGACAGCTCGATATCGCAGGTGGAGTTTGCAGCACCGAGGGCGCTCCACCACTCGCAGAGTGCCTACTCGCAAGCGTCTAAAACAGAAACACATGTTCGCCTCGACATCAAGGATCTCAGAATCCGAAGAAGAACAAAACCATGTAAACATAAACTCTCGTCGCTCCGCGCCCTGGCGCGCTCCGCGCGCCAGGGAGGGGGTCCCTGCGCAAATCCGAGAGATCCGCGCGGAGCGTCGGAACTTTAGGCTTACGTGCTCTCTTCTTCCTCTGAGAATTCTCCGCGGCGCATCCATCAGGAGGGACAAAAAACACACAGACACAATTAATCGACGATCCCCAAGAAAAGATGGGAAAAAATGGGAATTGGGCGGGAAGGCAATAACCCAGAACATATGGGAAAATATAGGGAACCAATATATTTGTGTGTATTTGTTTGTGTGTCCTTGGGCCCCTTCAATCCAGGCCATTCGCCAGCAGTTTGTCTCTGCGAGATGTGGGGCGCGCCTGTCTGTTGAAAAACCGGGGCACGGCCGCGGCACGGGCACGGGCACGGCACGCGGGCGACCTCGCGTCCCCGCATCCCCCGAGCTTCGGGCACGCGGCAGCTCTGGACGCCCGAAATGGGTACTGAAAGAATGGGTACTATGCCCAACAGCAGTTCCTGTTCATTTTGAACAAGATCCGCTGTCCACGCCGCCGCGGCCTGTGTCCATTCGAGACAGGAGGCCGCCTGCCCAACAGCGGCCGCTGTTGGTTTGGGACAGCATTTGCTGTTGGGCATCGTACCCATGTCTTTGGTACCCATTTCGGGCGTCCAAAGGTACCGCACGGCAGGCGGCCCGCCTCTCTGCTTTTGCCGCCTGCTGGGCACCCGGCGCGGCACGGCGCGCGGGCGGCACCTCGGAGGAGGAAAGGGTACCCCTGCCCTTCGTGGGCCCCGGAAACGGCAGGGCCGTTTCTTCACCGTTTCCAGAAAGATGTCCCTTGAAAATGGAAACGGCAAAAAACGGCGACCGGAAACGGCCAAAAAACGGCTCCAGGCTTGGAATTGGAGCTGGCACCGGTCAAAAAACGGCGACGGAACCGGTAAAAAACGGCGTCGGAACCATCAAAAAAAAAAAAAAAGGAACCGGGAAAAAAACGGCCCTGTCGTTTCCAGGGCCCACTGAGCCCCTGAGGCCACCCCTGGCCCGATGCCCGCTTTTCTCGGCCTCCTCGGAGGCCCTCGTCACCACCGCTGGATCCGCCTCGAGATCCTGGTCCGAACGCGCCCCGGGAGAGGTCTGGGGAGTAGCGGCATCGGTACCTTTTGGTTTCCCCAGTTACTTGTTTGTATCCCAGAAGCTTGGGCACGGCAACGGCAGCAGCAACGTCCTGGCACGATACGCGGGCGGCATTTTTAGTTCACCGAGCGAGTTCCACTACTCGCAAAGTGCCTATTCGCAAATGTCCTAAACATACACGTCTGCTTCGATGGACTTTCTCGTATGATCCCCCGCGGGGAATTCAGGCCATTTGCGAGTAGTCACTTTGCGAGTAGTGGAACGCGCTCGTCGATTTCTTTCGCAGCCCAGCAACTCAGGCACGGCAACAGCACGGCCCGACACGCGGGCGGCAGTCTTCGCCAGTAACTGGGCACTGCAGCAGCAGCAGCACAGGCACGGCGCGGCGCGGGCGGCGCTTGCTTCGCGTTTGGATGCTACGAGCCGGCTTTTCGCAGTTCGGTGGGGACCCGCTGCAGCATTCGCTCTGTGGGGATCTTCAGGGCTTCACACGCACACGCACACATTCATTCATTCATTCATTCATTCATTCATTCATTCATTCATTCATTCATTCATTCATTCATTCATTCACACACACACAAACACGCACAAACATGCCGAGGGCACTGTGGCGGATCTCAGCGATGTTGGCCAGGTATTCTGCCGCACTGGCGCTCGCCTCTCTGCGGCCCGCAGCGGGGGCGAGCGCTGCTGGCGCAGACCCTCCACGAATCGTTGTTGCCAGCGACGGCGGCGACATCGCCGGGCGCATCAACTCGTCGCTGTACCAGACGCCATGCGACTTCTTCCCATTTCTGGCCTGGATGAAGATAGTGGAACAAACAATGACATAAACGTAAGAAAAGCAACGCGGAGGTCCGCGCGGACTCGTGGGAGCGGCGCTGAGGCCCCCAGGCGGCGCCTCCGTCGCCGCCCCTGGCGCGCCCCGGTCCGGCGCCGATCTCAGGAGTCCGCGAGGACCTCTGAGCCTTCCTATCTTTGTCATGGTTTGGTCCCCTAACAGAGCGAACACCGGACCGACAACGTGGCCGAGTTCCTCGGCATCCCCTACGCGGCCCCGCCGGTCGGAGCCGCCCGCTTCCGGCCGCCGCGGCCCAGCAGGCCGTGGCCCGGGGTCCTCGAGGCTGCGGCGCCCGGGCCGCAGTGCGCGCAGCTGCCGGCAAACGCCATCGTGGAGGTGCCCGACTGGGCGCACGCGACCAAGGAGGATACCCGAGCGCCCCGGCTGGTAGATCGTCCCCTCCCCCCCTTTAACCCCTGCGAGTTGATTTTCCCCGGCCGATGCAGGTTTGGTCGGAGAAGAGGGGCGGCAAGGCCGAACTCGCTCATCGCGGGGGGAAGTGGCGAATCGAAGCTGCCATCTTCTTCTTCTTCTTCTTCTGTTGAGTAGCAAGGGTTCCTAAGGATTCCCGTGAATTTCCTCAGGAATCCGACGGATTTCCTAAGGATTCCCATGGATTTCCTCAGGATCTCCAGGACAAACGTTCATAACCCCCCTGGACTCCGAACTGAATCATCCCATGGGGATTCATATCAGGGGCAGTTGGTTGTGCGGCCAGCGCAGGGGTCAGAGGCAAGCTTGCAGCAAAGGCGCTGATAAGGACCGCTGTGGGCTCAGGAGGGGGTCGGGTGTGGCGGGCCGTTCCTCAGATGCATGCCGTGCAGCCTGTTTGTGGCCTAGGCCCGCGGGGGTCCCCGACTGGGCCCCCTCGATCAGGGAAGGCGTGCTCACCGCAGAACAAAACATGCAACACAAGGGCGCAGGGCGAGCGTAGGGCGACCTCGGCGTAGTGCGAGCCCGAGACTCGAGGCACAGTCAACGGCACGAACATAAACGTTTGGGGGTTCCGCGCGGATTTCTTGGATCGGTGCTGGACCCCATTCCACGGCGCGCGGAGCGCGCCAAGGGCGGCGCTGGAGGCGCCGCCAAGGGGGCCCAGCGCTGATCCAAGACGCCCGCACGGAGCCCCGACAGGTCATGTTTATTCCGTGTTTTCGTTCTCTAGCTTTGGCCTCGATGTGGGAACCTTGCTTGCGTTGCCGTCGTCGCCGATGCATCGGCGATGCATCGGCGATGCGGCGCGATCCTCCGATCCCATCTGCTCCGACCCCATTTGGGAGGCCGTCTGCGAAGGGGTCAGGGGCAAGCTTAGAGTTAGGTCGGGTCTGTCCCCCTACAGGGGGATTTTGAACGAGAAATATAAGATATCCAAAACACATGCAAACTATGCTTAAACAAACTAAATAAATAGTCTCCAGACTATTGTTTGACTATGTTTGAGCATTCCCCGTGTAGAGGGGCACGGCGGGATGGCCTCGCCTCTGGCGTCGTGGTCGGTGCCGTCGAGGTCGCGGGGTGCGCCAACTTCTTGGCTTGGTTTACCAGCGTCCCTGTTTTGCCGAGCCCTGACCTTGAGGCGGTTCCTAGAGGTTTGCGGGCCCAGGCGTGTTGCCCCGCAGCTGCGCTTCGTCGACGGCCTCCACGTGACGCCGTAGTCGCCCCCAGCGGTCATCTTTCAGCCTGGCCACAGAGCTCAGACTTCGGGCGTCCAGAGAAAGGTCAGGCGCCAGCTCCTTACACAGCGTGTCTGTAAGGTAGAAGGGCTTCGTACATTTCTTCTCACGCCCCGTGAGGGAGCCAAGGCCCCCGAACTCGGAGGCCCATGGTGGCCGCTCATTGCGTTACTGTGTGAAGCTGTTCAGCGTCGTCTGCCGCGAGGGCGTCATTGCTTCAGGAGTCTTCTGTGATGCTCTGCCGGGGACGTTTGCTTGCCCTGCGCAGGGGCCACCACCGCCTTCCGGGGGCCGTGTAGAGCGACTCCTCCTCCTCCTCCTCCTCCTCCTCCTCCTCCTCCGCTCCTCCTCCCCCTCCTCCTCCTCCTCCTCCTCCTCCTCCTCCTCCTCCTCCTCCTCCTCCTCCTCCTCCTGCTCCTCCTCCTGCTTCTCCTCCTGCTTCTCCTCCTGCTCCTCCCCCTCCTCCCTTTCCCCCTTCTTCTCCCCCTCCTCAGCTTCCTCCCCTCCTCCTCCTCATCCTTCTCTCCTCCTCTCCTCCTCCTCCTGCTTCTCCTCCTGCTCCTCCTCCCTCCTTCTCCTCCTCCTCCTCCTTTCTCCTTCTCCTCCTCCTCTTCCCCCTCCTCCTCCTCCTCCTCCTCCTCCTCCTCCTCCTCCTCCTCCTCCTCCTCCTCCTCCTCCTCCTCCTCCCCCTCCTTCTCCTCCTCCTCCTCCTCCGCGAGCCTCCTGCAAACCCCACCCCTGCCCTTCTTAGGGAGGTAAAAGTCGAGGTTGTTTCGGGGAGGGTGACCTAATGTTCTTCGTGGTTGTTGGACGTTCTTGTGCATCCTGGGATGGGGGTCCCTCGAAGGCTCTTCGGTTAGGGCCGGCGGAGGCGGAGGGTCTCACATTCCTGAAGGGTTTTTCTTTTCTGGCCTGGGTCCGACTGCCTTAGATCGAGGTCGGTTCGGGGAGGGTGCCCTGATGTTCTTCGTGTCTGTCGGACGTCCTCGCGCATCCCTGGGGGGAGAGTGGGCTCGAAGGCTCTTCGGATCGGCCGGCGGAGGGTCTCACACCTTCTTGAAGGGCGTTTCTTCTGGCCTGGGTGGTCCGACTGCAGAAGGTCGAGGTCGCTCCGGGGAGGGTGCCCCGATGCTCTTCTTGTCCGCTGGACGTCCTCGCGCATCCTCACGGGAGGGTGGGCCCGAAGGTCCTTCGTCTCGGCCGGCGGCGGGCCTCGCGCTCTCGAGGGGTGTTCGTTTCTGGCCCGGGTCTGCCCCTCAGTCCGGGTCGCCCGCGGGGGCGCGGAGAGAGGACGCGCTGCGCGCACCGCGCTCTGGGCCGGAGCGGCCGCCCTTCTGCAGGAGGGGCAAAAACAAACAGACACAATTAACCGTCGACTCCCAGGAAAACATGGGAACCTATGGGACGTGGGGGGGAAGACAAAAACCCAGAAAATGCGGGAACATATGGGGAATGGGGAATCTCGTTACTTGTGTGTGTGTACTTCTTTGTGTGTCCTTGGGCCCCTTGGCTTCTCCTCCGAGGGGGCGGCGCGGAGGCACGATGCGCGAAGCCCGATGACCTGCAGCGGGCTTACGTCGCGTCGACGAGCGGCGGCCCCGCCGGCGGCGGCCCAGAATCGGTCGATGCTCGAAGAAGGAAGAGCGGCGGGCCTGTCCCTCTGCGGGGGGAAGCTTCAAAAATAGTTCAAAGATAGTCGGGGACCATATGTTGACCATTTGTGAGCATGTGCTCGAATAGTTTTACGGTATTTCTGATTTTGCGCCCAACATCCCCCTGTGGGGGGACGTGCCCGACCTAAGTATAAACATAAACTTCAGGTGCTCAGCGCGGTGTTCCTGGAGCCGCGCCCGGGCCCACCCGGCGGCGCCCCGATGCGCCGTCCCTGGCGCGCTCCGCGCGCCGGGGACGGGGAGGGTGCAGCGCAGATCCACGAATCCCGCGCCGAGCGCCGCATATTCGTGCTTATCCCGTTTTCTTGTCGTCCAGGTTCGGAACCGGCCGACCGGTCGAGGTTGCCCGACCCCCGCGGGGTCGGAAAGCCACCGCCGAGGTCCGACCTCGGCACGGCATGAGCCTGCCGTGCAAGATCGAGGTCGCTTCGGGGAGGGTGCCCCGATGTTCTTCGTGGTTGTTGGTTGCTGTTGTGCATCCCGCGGGGAGGGTACCCGCTCCAGGAGCCGCCGCTCGTCCAAGGTCGAGCCATCCCCGCGGTGTCAGAAAAAAAAACGCCGCCGAGGTCGGCGCGGCAGGAGCCTGCAGTATAGGGTCGAGGCCGGTTCGGGGAGGGCACCCCAGGTGTTCTTCGTGTGTGTGTTGGATGTTGCGACCCGTCCCCCCCTGAGCCGCTCGCGCCGTCCGCCCCTCTTTCGGCCGCGCCCTCCCCCGCTCCTCCCCTTTGCATGGTGGCACAATTCGCTCCAAAGGCATCCCCGCTTCAGCCTTCCAGCGCCAGCGGATACGTCCCCCGCCGAGCCGCCGACGCCAAGAAGTCTGTGTTGGCTGCTCTCGTGCACCCCTGGGGGCGGGCACCCGATCGTAACGCCGCCGCTTTTTTGGTAGGTGGCTCTCTCCACACGCTCTCCGCCGCCTCTGGCGGCGTGCGCTGCGGGCAGGAGCGCAGCACCGCCACAGGCAAGCGCGGCATGGACAGCGCAGCTCCGCACAGGTGGCGCACGTGCTGGCGAGCAGGAGCACGGCGAAGCCCCCGGCGGCACGCCCCCCCGCGGGGTCCGAGGCCGCCGCCGAGGGCCACGGCGCGAGCCCGCCCCACGTGGGGCCCCCGCCCTCGCCCGCCGCGCGTCCCCCCCGCTCTCGGGGGCAGGCGCAGGTCTCTCGAGCCGTCGCCCGCGGGCGCAGGGCGGAGCTGCGCGGCCGCCGCCTCGCTCTCCTGGGGCTTCGCTGTGCTCCTGCTCGCCAGCACCCAGGAGGAAACAAAACACACACAGACACGATTCATCGTCGATCCCCCAGAAAAGATGGGGAAATATGGGAAGTGGGGGGGAAGACAAAAACCCAGAGAAAATTTGGGAAACTATGGGGGATGTTTTTAGTTGTGTGCCTTTATTTGTGTGTCCTGGGGCCCCTTCAAGCACGTGCGCCACCTGTGCGGAGCTGCGCTGTCCATGCCGCGCTCTCCCGTGGCGGCGCTGCGCTCCTGCCCGCAGCGCGCACCGCCGGAGGCGGCGGAGAGCCTGAGAGATCCGCCTGCCAAGAGTGTGCCCGCGGCGCTCTTTGGCTCGAGCCGTGGCGAAGCGTCCTGGCTTCCCTATAGTCATGCGACCGCAGACATGGATCAATGGGGGCGTGGATTCGCGACGGGTCCCGTTGCCATGGGAGAAATGGTGAATTTTCTGCCGCCGAGCGAGGCGGCACGGGCCTCATTTTGGGGAGGGCAGCTCTCCCGATCCATGGATCTGGCGACCGCGCGCCAGATCCACGGATCGCTAATCCATGTTTGCGCGCTCCCGATATAGGCCCACCACAGAATGTTCCAGGAACCTTTCTGTGTGGTTTGCACGACAGGTTCTCAGAACATGCCTGGCTGGTGCTGCTCATGTTCTCAGAACATCCATTGCTGTTTCTTTCATTTTTGAGCTCCAAGGACATGTAGCGGTAGGCCTATAGGCGGCCCGAATTAGTAGGTCGATCCTGTCAAATCAAGGGTACCCTTATGTCCTGTGTCTCGCGACCCATGCTTCCGACATTCCTGTGGCAATGTGGCCCTCGGAAGGGTCTTTTGTCCTTTCGCGTGTCCCGTCCAATCGAGTCCGACTGTGTAGGAATACCGGCACGGCCGGTCCTTGCTGAATCTGCGGGCCCACCCTGGATGCGGAGGGTCCGGTTTTCGTGGGAGGCCCGCCGCGGAGGTCGCGCCAAAAGGCCAAGGCCGGCTCTCGCCCATGTCCCCGGCGGCCCCGCCGGGCCACGCCGAGTCTTATGATGCAACCTGCTCATTAGCCCTGACCACCAGCAGGAATTTCGAGCACCAAGGACTGGAGGGATCTCACGCGTCGGACAGTGGAAGGCGATGCTCGTTTTGACACTGCGTCGATACCTCTCGGGGTGCTCGAGGGCATTTCTGGGATGTGGTTCCTACGTGCGAAAGGAGCAACATGTCGGAGGTGGATGGGCCTCCTACCCTGACGCGTCGATTAAGGAATTGGCCGTCTTCGGTTTGCGAGAGGGCGTCACGGCCGTCATGTTTGCGGGTCCAAGTCCGTCAGTTTCGGTTCTCGGCCGCTTTCACTAAGCGGAGGTTTGCTAAAGGAAGGTGTGTCCACCGCAGAACAGAAGCCGAGCCCCCTGAAGCCCGCGCCCCGCGCCTCCCCGACCTATGCCGGGGCCCTCGCCCTCGCCCGCCGCCCTCGCGCGCGCCGCCTCGGCAGGACTGCCTCTACCTCAACGTCTGGGCCCCCGTCGACTCGGGCGGCGCCCTCGGCGGCGGCGGCCGGCCCGTCCTCGTCTTCTTCCACGGCCCAGAGGAGAAAAAGCGGCAGCAACTCAGCGGCACCGTATCGGGTACTCACTAACGGGTCGTTTGGAGATTTGCCAGAAGTTGCCACTTTAGGGCCTCTTGCCGGCACCGCAGCGTTGCCCACCTCGGGGAGGGTTGGGTTCGCCAGGTCACCAGTCGAAGTACCCGTTAGTGGAGTCCCCGTTAGAGGGGCGCTGAGCAACACATGAACTTCTGGCGCTCCGCGCGGACGTCTTGGATCAGCGCTGGCCGACCCCCCCGGCGGCGCCTCCGGCGCCGCCCCTGGCGCGCGGAGAGCGCGCCAGGGAGTGGGGGGGGCAGCGCAGATCCACGAAGTCCGCGCGGAGCGCCAGAAGTTCCTGTGTATTCCGAGGCGGGAATGTATACAGTGAGCGGCTTGAATAAGGAACACTTACTATTCAAAAGGGGCTCGGTCGTTCCTTAAGCTTGCATGCGTTATTTACAGTTCCTTCTGCGTCATTTCTTATGTATCGTTCCTTATGCGTTATTCCTTGGGAGAAAAAAGGGGCTTCGTTCCTTATTTACCGTTCCTTAGGTCAGGCCGATGACTGTACATGACCACCGCCTGGAGGATCAGTTTTCGTGGGCCTCGCAAGCGGTGGATATGGATATGTTCGGGCCCCCGAGGCCCAAAATATATCCATATCCACCGCCCGCTGGGGCACCAGGACGTCGTTTCCCAGGCGGTGGATATGGACAAATTCGCGCCTCGCATTTCTGCCGTTTTTTCGTCCTCGAACGGCGGCGGCTTCGTCGGGGGCAGCGGCTTCCAGGAGGCGAACTGTGCGCTGTACAACGGCCAGGGCCTGGCGTCCGACCTCGACGCCGTGGTGGTCACGGCGATCCGGGGAGGGCGGCGTGGGTCGACGGGTTCGGTTGTCCTTCAGGGGGGGCCCCCTCGTCGCCACGGTTAAGTCGAGCACGTCTCTCTACAGGAGGAATATATTCAAAAATGGTCGAGCAAATCATACGGGGACGCGTTTTCTTTCATTTTTAATGCTATGTTGGGGCATTGTTTGGCTCTTTGGCATGGGTTCTCCAAAATCTGCCTGTAGGGGGGCAGGCCTGACGGAACGCCACGGCTGGACGCGGCCCCGGGAAGTGGTCTGGGGGCCGATTCTCAGCCGCCGCCTGTCTCTCGAAGAAGAGAGCACGCGTGACCATAGTCACCACCCACCAAGCCACCCCAACCCAACCCGAAGGCCTGGGGGCCGATTCTCAGCCGCCGCTTGTCTCTCGAAGAAGAGAGCACGCGTGACCATACTCCAGATTTCGTAATAAAAGGGAGGGGGTCTCATTTCGGGGGGGGTCTCTTCCAGGCTATCTTGGAGGGCCTGGGGGGGTCTGGGGACGATGTTTTGGAGGGTTCCCCCACGGGGGAGGTCTGAAATGGCTTGTCTTGGAGGGTCCAGACCCCCTCCCTTTTATTATTACGAAATCTGGAGTAGACGGTGGAGGTCCGCGCGGACGCCTTCCATCGACGCTGCCCCCCCCCCCCCAGCGGCGCCTCCGGCGCCACCCAGCGCCGACCCCAGAAGTCCGCGCGGACCCCCGGGAGTTTCTGCGCGTGCCGCCCCCTGCTCCTCTAGTCTCCGCTCGCCCTGTGCCGAGGTGAACTACAGGCTGGGCATCCTCGGGTTCCTGGCGGACCCGTCCCTCCGCGCAGAGTCGGGCACCACCGGCAACTACGGCCTGCAGGACCAGCGCGCGGCCCTGGAGTGGACGAGGCGGAACGCGGCCGCCTTCGGGGGCGACCCCGCCAGGGTCACCATCATGGGGCAGTCGGCGGGGGGGGCGTCGGTGCTGCACCACACGGTGCTGCCAATGAGCCGTGGATTGGCTTCGAGGGCGATAGCGATGAGTGGCTATACCGTGACATGGTCGCTGGACCAGGCCTACAGGCATGCGGAGCAAGCGTCGACGCTGCTGGGTTGCAGCGAAGCTTCGACACGCCTGGGTTGCTTGAAACAGGCGTCGACCAGCGAGTTGCTGAAAGTTGAGAAGGCGTTGCTGTTTGGATCCGGCATGGACGTGGTCGAGCGAATGATGTTTTTTGGACCTGTTTCAGATGGTTTTGAGCTCCCAGAGAACATCAGTTTTAATGCCGCGTTGCGTGCATCCAAACACCGCGTGCCATTGTTGGTTGGCAGCACGCTCAACGAGACAAACCTCTTCCAGTGCGAGACTCTCTCGAGAAATCTGTCACAGCATGCGAGCGTTGAGTATTTTCTAAAAGTCCTGAAGGCGGTCATACCTTCAAGTGACCTCTCTGCAGAGGTAGTGGCCAACGTCTTGCGAGACAAATACGCGGGCTACTCTGACGGGAGAGGCGCCGTCATGGCCATGAGTTCCGACGTGGTGTTCACATGTGCCGCAGATCGGGCTGCACGATGGTTTTCGCGGGGCGGCGCCCCTGTTTATAAATATGTCCTGGCCAGCCCGCCGAGAATGATGCGAGCGCTCAAGTGCCTTGGCGTTCCGCACGTCGCAGACATGATGCTGTTCTTCCACAAGGCTTTTCCGAGGGAGTCCGACGAGATCGTCGTCGGCGATGCCAGCATGCAGGCACTGACGAGGTACATGATCGGTGCCTGGCGCAGTTTCATCCACGGCGCCGAGCCTGCGGGATGGTCGCCCTTCTCGGCCGACGACCCCAGCGCCCGCACGCTCCAGCTCGGAGACAACGAGACTGCACCCTTCCGCGAGCTGCAGGGCTACCGCCGCGAGGCCTGCGACGCGATCGAAGACCTCGTCGACCCTGCCTCGACCTCGTCGGCGGGCGCGCGGGGGGTGCTCGTCGTGTAGCCGATGCTCCTCCCCGCCCTCGAGCGGGCACGCGGCTCCCAATCCTCACAACACCCCGCCCTCCGAGGCGCGCGCGCGTCCATGCAGATCGTTCTTGACCTCCCCCCCCTGGCGCCCGCGCGCACCGCAGGGGCAGCGTGCGCCTCGCCGGCTAGCTTCCTGGCCGCACCCGCTTCCGAGCACCTCGGCCCCAGACCTCGGACACGCCGCACCTCGTGAGCGCCTTTTTGTTATCCGTTGTCTTAACGATCGGCGCGGGCCCTCGCACCCCCCCCCCCCCACTCCCCCCCCTTGGCTGTTTCTGGGGCGCCCGCTTCGAGCGGGCGGAGTCCCTCTCCCAGAGGCAGCACTCGTGCAAGCAGTCGCGCTGAGCAGAGGTCTGGAGCCAGACCCCCCCCCCCTACCCCCCCTCCTTCCTCGCAATGTCGAAACGCCGAGTAAAACAACGCTCACCTTCCCCAACATCAAGAGCGACCGCCATTCTCCTCCAAGAAGGCGGCGCGGAGACGCGATGCTCGAAGCTGGCTGACCTACAGCGCTTTCGCGTCGTGCCGACCAGCGGCGACTCCGCCGCCGGCGTTCAACGACAGACGCCGCCAGCGACCCAGATTCGGCCGATGTCGAACGAGGTGTTGTTTCAAAACCGGCCGATCTCGAAGAAAAACAAACGGCGTAAACTTAAAGTGTTGGCGCTCCGCGCGGATTTCTTGGAACCGCGCTGGGCTCTCCCCTGGCGGCGCCTCTGGCGCCGTTCTCAGCGCGCTCCGCGCGCGAGGGAGGGGGACCCAGCGCAGATCCAAGAAATCCGCCCGGAGCGCCAAAAGTTGATCTTTATGCCGTTTTGTTTTTTTCCTACTCCAGCACGTGGGCAAAATGTGGGAACCCTCACAGTGGAGGGGGATGTTCATCACCCTCCCGCCCACGGAATCAATGTTGAGCTTAGCATGGACGGTGGTTTTTGGGGGTTTCGAGTCGTCCTGTCCACCCATGCCCTCTCTGTTGCCGCACCCTCAACATTAGGTTTTCGTGTCGGAGGGGGTACAGTGAGCGGCTTGAATAAGGAACACTCTTTTCAAAAGGGGCTCCGTCGTTCCTGAGGCTTGCATGCGTTACTCATCGTCCCGTATACGTTATTGGTTAGTTATCGTTCCTTATGCGTTACCCCCTGGAGAAAAAAGGGGCTTCGTTCCTTATTTATCGTTCCAGAGGTCAGGCCGATGACGGTGTCTTGCGCTGCAGGGCTCGAACTCGTTGTCCAGGCACGGCCCCCGAGGGCCAGAACCCCCTCCTGGAGACCGGTCGTGCCGCCCCGGATCGGCCGCTGCTGGCCCCGGGGGCCAGGAGCAGGGCTCAGGCCCCCTCTGAGAACCCCCCCCGGAGAGGCCCGGAGGCAGCGGGAGGCCCGCAGAGGGGGCCCGCAGAGGGCCACCAGAGACCAGGGGGGTGCTAGACAGGGCCCTGGAACACGGGGGGTCACAAGCGACCAAACCCTTGGCATCGCTCGGCTGTGCGCATTTTTCCTTCGGCGAGGACCATCTAGGAGCTTCCTTGATCATTTGGCGAAAAAGCCATGCACGAAACCGACAAAAAATAGGGAATGGACGTCCGAGCGATGGCGAGAACCACCCCAACCCAACCCGAAGGCCCCATTTTGCCCTCCATTTCCAGTGTGGGGGGGGGCGGGGAACAGGGGAAAACCACATGGGACCCGTACCCCCCCCAACCCGAACTTCGGGTCAGATTCGGGTCTTCGGGCCGGGTTGGGGTGGCCTCGTAGTAGCTAGTCAGTGAACGACGAAGCAAAGCGGCCCCACTGCGCCGACCTTCGCGCGCAAGCTTCCCGCGTGCCGCGCCGGCGGCCCGCGTAAGCCACCGCGCAAGGTCGTCTGCGCCGACATGGGCGCGTGAGCTGCCCGCGTAGGGTCGCGGGTGAGCGCCCTCGTCTCCGCTGTGGCGTGCCGCGCCGGCGGCGCGCGTAAGCCGCCGCGCGAGGTCGCCGGGTCACAGCGCGCAGGGCCCGTTTCTGCTCGTCGCCCAGGCGTTGGTAGAGGTGGTCCTGGACCACGGTGCCCCCCGCTTCCCGCATCACGCCGGGGCCCCATGGGCTTGGCGTATCGCTCGGACGTGTGCACTTGTTCTCGGCGGGGATTACTTCAGGAGCATCCTGGATCGTCCTGCGAAAAAAAAAAAAAAAAACGCACGACACCCCCCAAAAAAACAAAGGGCATGGACGTCCGAGCGATGGCCAGTTGGGGCCCCCTGGGCCGTGTGCTGTGGGGCTCTGGAGGCCGTGGGCGCCTCCTCGGACATCCCCGGGGGCACCGTGGGGCCGGGGGCGCTCCTGGCCACACCCGACGAGACAACTCGACCCTCGTGTCTCGAGCCTTGAGAACCCCGACCCTCGACCCTTTCTACGGTGGAGGCCCATGCCAAGAGGCACCCTGCTTGCCGCCAGGGTGCCCCGGGTTTCTGGGGGTTCGATGGTTGTGCTCTGGAACGCGTGACGTTCCCACACCAAAAGTCCATGTGCGTCCTGTGGATTGGCCCCCACTGTAGCTCTTAGGAGGAGGAGGAGGAGGAGGAGGAGGAGGAGGAGGAGATGGAGGAGAAGGAGGAGGAGGAGGAGGAGGAGGAGGAGGGGAAGGACATGCCCGATCTAACCTTAGCTCTTACTCCACAACCTGACGAGATTCGACAGAGCGTGCCTATCGTGCGGCCGCCTCTCTTGGTTTGGCTCGGGCGGCAGCGCGCAGATGGGGTGGCAGACATCTGCTCGGGCCAAGGCCACTGTATCAATTTTTTTTGTTGTTCCGCTCCCGTGGGATGGGGGCCTCCAGGCACGGGGCCTGGGCCCCCCCCTGGAGCTCCGAGCGCGCTCGTCGCGCCTCGCCGCCCCTCGCGACCGCGCGGGCTGGCGCGCGGCACGCTCCGCGGAGGTGGGGCCGCCGCATGTCTGGGAGCACTGCTGGCCTTCCCGTCGGCCCGAGGTACGACCCAGTCGGGCATGTCCCTCTACATGAGGAAGATTCAAGACTAGTAAGAACATTATCTGGAGACGATTTCTCGATTTTGTCTGACGACTACTTTTGTATAGTTCTGATGCTTTACAATTTGTCATCCAAACTCCGCATGTCGGAGGACACGCCCGAGCTGACGGTACGACAGGCTCGCTTCGGGTCGACCGGTGGCGACCCCGCCGCGGGCGTTCGTAAGGCTGAACGCCGCTATCGGCCTCGAATCGGCCTCTGTGGAGCGATCGGGCTGTCGAAAAAGGCCGCCGATCGTTCAGGGCTGAACGATCCCCGCGGGTTCAGAAGCACCAGCGCCGGGGTCGTCACGACATGAGCTTGCCGTATATGGTCGAGGTCGGTTCGAGGAGGGTGCCCTAATGTTC